TGTGCCAGTGTCCCTGTGCCCACGGACGTGGGTAGGTGTTTATTTGTGTGTCTATATCTGAGTGTGCATGAATCTGTGCATCTGAACAGGTGTGTGTACCCACCAAGCAGGGTTATGTCTGTGGGGAGCCCTGTCCGAAACCCAGCGAGTTTGGGGGGCAGGTATTTCCAACTCCGAAGGAAGGTCTACAATGGCTGGAACCTCAGACTAGCTCCCTTGATTTCAAAGCAAAACCAACCATTACCTGTAAACCGGCACCTGGAAGTGGACAGACAAAAAGGGAAACCCTTTAACATGGCCTTTACGACACCAACAACCATGCTTCCAGCTGCAGATTCTGAACGCTGGCAAGTCGCACGGTGAGCAGAGCACCGGCTCGGAACCGTGGCCACTCCTGGCCAGCTGTGAGCTTAGCAAACTCGCTTACCCCTTTGGCCTGTTTTTCTCATGTGCAGTTTGGGGGACCGTGGCCTCCTGAGGTTGAGGTTAAATGCCTGCGGTTTGGGGCAGGTGGTGGCACTCAGTGAATGCTCCTTCTCCTCAGGATGGGCCACGGGGAAGCACTCGGAGGGACAGCTCCGGGGAGACGCCGGAATGTCAGCGCGGACTCCGGCTTCCCAGAACCACATTCCTCCCTCCAGCTCCCCGGCAAGGGCGGCTCCCAACCATTTTGTCTTCTCCCGCCGGCGCCTGGCGGCCTGTCCGTCACCCGCCCTGGGAAGCCAAGTGCTGACTAAACACAGGCCTGAGCGGAGGGTGGAGCCGGGGCTCCACGGGGGCTAGCGGCTCGCGGCCCCCTCCCCGGTCCCCCACCTCCAGCCCCGAGCGGAGCGGCTGGCGCAGCAGTTGCTGACAATTCAAAACTTCGGCCCCTTCTCCGGGGACGCCAGTGGGTGCCTGAAGCGCAGGCATGACCGGCCACCAACCGCTCCCGCCCTCTCCGCCGGCCGGAACTGGTGTCTGTTCCTGCCCCCGGGGCATACCCACAGCAGCTGTGCTGCAACCACCACAACCGGTGCTTCCTGGGCAGGTCACTTTTTGGGTCAGAACATAAACCCAGCCCCTCGCCGGGGAGAGGGGCGTGCGGCAGGCAGCCTAAACCTTTTATCGGATTCCACTGGAAATTGTTCTATTTAAGATAAGTTGCTTGGGTCTGAGAAACAGACAAGATGCCGGCCAGATGTTGGGAGGCGGCATCAGCATTCAGCCTGCGCTCCTCTCCTGCTGCAGCTCGGGCTGCCAGCGCCCGTCTCCCGGCCCCAGCGCCCGCCCCGCGGCCTGCGGAGGGGCCTGGGGATCTGGGCGTCTGGGTCCCAGACTTGGATGTCCTGCCTTCATCCCACCTCCCACAGGGTGACCATCCCACCTGGGCCTGCTGCCCTCACACCCCTTGGGAGCTGGCTCCGTGTCGCCCCCTTCTATCCACCTCTCCCATTAAACACACACACACACCCGAGGTGGCCGAGTGGCTACGAAGATTTTATCGAGTTATTGAAAACATTGGCGTAGGTTTACGTAGGTGCATGTACACAGTTACATGGAATCTTCAGGTCACTGGGAGCTAACGTACACACGAGCCTGGCAGGGAAGCAGAGAGGACTTGGAGCCACGGGGCTTTAAGAAACTGGACATCTGAGGACCCGAGAGCAGTGGGGCAAAGGGCAAGGGTCACCGAGGGCGTGGCTTGCCCCCACCGCTCACATCTCCAACGGAAGCTCCTTCTCCACCCTCGGGGGGGGGGGGGAAAGGGCCCCATTTCAGACTGTATCCCCACCACACACGTGCTCGCTCCCTAAGCTCTCGATGTGAAACACACACACACGAGTCCTTTGGTCCAGGTCCTTCTGTTTGTCTCAGAGAAAAGAAGGCACTTTGGGAGCATATGGTCACTCTCCTACAGGCACATCATTCTAGACAGAAAGTAAAAACCCGTGAGTTTCTCAAGCGAGTTACCTAGAAGTCACTACAGTAATTGTTCCCACGCGCTCACTGAGGCGGCCGGAGCCAGAGGAAGCCCTGGCCTGGGGGGCTGCGGCGGAGGGGGGGGAGCAGAGGGGGGGGGGAATGCGTAAGCAGAGGGTCACCACAGCCAAGAGCCCTCATCTGTCCGAGCCGGCGCTGTGGAGCCGGGGAGTGGCGCCACGGAGATTTCACATTAGCCTGACAACACCGTTGGGCTCGGCGGTGACATTGGCCAGGTCGTTTCTGAGGCTCGAGCTTCTGGAGGCAAGCTGAGCTCGGCCGTTCCGAGCTTCCAGGGACGAGCCTGCCCCTCCCCAGGCCGCTCCTTTGGAATGTACTCATCTCACCACCTGGGCAAAGCCACCAATCACTCTGACACCGCCTGCCGGGAGCGGGGCCCCTGGGCCCCAGGAATGGGGGCAGGCTCCCTGGCTGAGCAAAAGGGAGGTGGTTTCTTGGCCTCAGCACTTAAGAGTCCTTGTGAGCCATTGTTCCATTCGCTTACCAGCTTGGGCCCGGTTTAAATAATCACTAAACTTCGCATTCCACAATTACAGGATTCTAAAGACACATGATTACCTGCATAGGGTCCTTTATTATTTTAAAGGGCCCTGGGCTTAAAGCAGCGTTTTGGGGGGTGAACCAATGCACAAGTAGAGCCCAGCTGACTGGGTCCCAGCCCACCCCTCCCCCACCCCCCAGCCGAGGAAGCCGGCTGCTACAAAGCGCAGAGCTTGGCTGCATAGATTTTAATGAGAACGTCAGGCAGAGCTGTGCTGTTGCTCTCCGGGACTTGCAGATCATTACCAAACCAGCTGTAGGATGAGAACACAGCACATCGAACCCCTAGGAGGTCACTGAGCTAATGATCTAATCCTACCTTCCGCAGGCAGCACCCCTCCTCGCCTCCCCCTGCCCCCAGACCTCTCCACGGCGGACTGTCCATTCCAGCAGCCAGGCCAACACCGCCCCCTCCAAGGTCAGAGCTGAACGATAGCGAGTGGCACCAACTCCCCTTTTCCGGAGAGGAGGGGGATGGGAGTGATTCAGTCAGAGCCATTAGGCCCAGGCCCTGGCCTGGCCAGGCCCCAGGACTCCTATTTGGAGAGCCACTGCCCTCCACCTCCAACGGCCATTTTAGGTTCTGAAGAATGGACCTTCCGCTTCCAAGTGCAAGGTGGGAAGCAAGGCAGGGCACACACACAGCCTGGCGTGCTCAGCACGGGGGCCAGGTGCTGGCCCTGTGCCAGAGACACTGACCTGGGGTGTGGGGAGGGCGCGGAGGCAGCCCCAGGAGGAGGGCATGCTGGCCCCACAGCCCCGAGTTCAAGGAAAAGAGGCAGAGGGGGCGCATTCAGCCGGGCACAGCGCGGTACCCATGATTACACACGCTCCTCAGCCGGAGGGTTTATGAGGGCTTTGGCAATTACTACAACCATTTGCTGTGCGGGGCACAGGCAGATCCTGTTTCTCTTTGTTTCAGGCTCTGAAAGCAGGAGCAGCCAGGAGCAGCCGGCTTCAGCATAAGAGGCTGCACAATAGTTGGGGCAGAAGAGAAGAAACCGCCCTGCTGGCCACAGCAGACCAGGTTTTCGGAATAATAGCACCTGTGTGTTAGCTCGGGGAAAGGGGGGAGGGCAGGAACGTCACTGGGTGCTGAGGGGGGAGCTGGAAATGAGACCCACGGTCCCTCTGCTGATTTCAGCCTTCCTCAGGGCTGCCAGGCCCCCCAGGCAGCTGCCTGCCACGGCTGCCAGCCTGAGGGACTGCAGTTTCCACACTTGGCAGAAATTGGGGAAATAAAACGGGGAGGAGTGAAGAGGAATTGAAAACAGCACCTGTCAAAGCTGCCCACCCCCTTCCTTCTATCACTACCTCTAGTCCCCCGACTGGGCAGTTCCCAAGGCCAGTGGCTGGTAGATAGCAAAGGGGAAGCAAAATATTACGAGAGGCCATAAGGGTCTGAGCAGCACTGAGGGCCTGATACAGGCCCCGAACCCTCCTGCTGGGACTCCCCCCCCCTCACGGTGAGGTCAGAAGCAGCAGAGCTGAGAATGCTTGGCCCAGGCCCTAGCAGGTGCTCACTGGTTGGTCCCAGAAAGCACAGGTGACTTGGAATCAGACACCCTGGGCTCCAGCCCTGTTACGATCCAACTGCATGACCTTGAGCAAGTCACTTCCCATCTATAGACCTGAGCGTCACTCGAAGGGCAGGACCCAAGGCGGCCACCAGCACTGCCGTCCAGGTCTCTAAGCTTGGTCCTGGCGGCAGCAAAGGCCCGATCCCCGTGCCGGGGCTCGTTTGGTCATGGGCATCAGAGGTCAGAACTGGGCGGTGGTGCCCAGAGGCACCTGGTGACCGCAGAGGGGTGTGTAAAGGAAACCCAACCACCACACTCAGGCGACGGGGCCTGGGAGGGAGGCAAACACCTCATTCTTCATAAAAGCATCATTTCTGGGCAGAGGGGTTTGTGACCTTCTTTAGGGGCCTGATGGCCCCTGGGAAAAAGGGAATCCAGATACAGAAAGAGCTTAGCAAAAGGCAGCCTCACCCTGCAGACCGGGGCAGGAGGGTGCAGCCAAATGGCTGCTGGGGCACCTGGCCTGCTGACCTCCAGGGCAGGGGGGAGGGGCCGGCTGTATCCACACAGGCTTCAGGACAGGAAGTAGCTGGCATTATTCAAAGAAGCTGAGGGCTCGGCTCTGAGAGACCGCAGTGGAAAATGGCTCCAGGAAAGGCACCAACTCCAGTTTCCACCCACTCAAAGGGATCAGCTTTGGGGTTTTCCCTCCTCTTCAATATGAAGGGACGAGGGAACATCTCAGCTACTGACCCTCAGGGCCCCGTGGGGCCTGACTGGGGGAGGTGGGAAATACATGTTGATTTGGAGGAAGCACATGGATATATCTTTGGTAGCTTCAGGGAAGGCTTTGGCCCTTGAAATTCTCCCCCTCCCTCTTTCCCCCCCGGGACGGTGGGGGTGGCATTGAAAAGGCAGGAAGGAAGAAAGAGAAGAGGCGGGCACAGGCAGGAAGAGCTAATCCGACCAGTCGTCCTCATCAAACTCGGAGGAGTCGTCTTCGGAGTCACTGTACTCAACGGCGATGCGACGCGACAGGATGGTGGCCACGTCGTTGCCCACCACGTCCCGCTTCTCCTGCTCCTGCTGCTCCTCCACCCTGCGCAGCTGGAAGCCTGGGGAGAGACAGAGGGTCAGGAGGTGAGTGGCCTCAGAATCCATCCAGGATTGAGGAAGGGGGAATGGCCATGGGCTGGTGGAATATGGGAGAGGAGGGTGAAAAAGAAGGATCCTCTTGGAAAGGAGGAAGCAAGAAAAAAAATAAAGATGGAGGTTGGTAAAATGGTGGCCCTGGTGCCAGAGGGGTCTCGGAAAGGAAGTTGCCATCTTCTCCTCTGTCAGCTCTCAGGCTAGTGAGGGTCCTACTCGGCTGGTGGGGACTGGCCGCCACACCCCACTAGTAGCACACAGTCTGCCCGATTCATCGGTGACCACAGAGCTCAGCTGCCCTAGGCTGTCTCCTCTAGACAATCCTCCAAGCAGAAGGAACCACTCCAGCCCCGGGCATCGAGCCTGGCTTCGGACAGAGAGAGTTAATGCTCCATGAGGGAGGGGAAGAGGGAGGGGAGAGGTGACAAAAGGGGGAGGAGGCGATGGGTGAGGAAGAGGGGAAGAGAGTAGGCAGGAAGGGTATGGAAGGCGAAAAGGTGAAGGACAGGAATGACTGAGTTCAGCGGAACAAGTACCTCCGGATGTGATTCTGGTTCTCTGGGGCACAAAACGGATGCAAACACACACAAAGCACACATTTTCAAGAAATTCAAAGATCTCAGGTTAAGAATTCTTTCCTTTAAATCACGTGGAAAGAAATCCAAATCCCCCTATTTTTAGGGTGAAGTCTTTCTTTAGGCTGATCCTAGGCCTGAGGTCCCCATTCTCTCTCCGTCCAATGAAAGCTCCTCCCTGGGAAGGGCACAAACCCCTCACCCACCCTCCACCAGTCATCCCAGCTGCAGAAAGACAGTGCTCCCTGGTCCGGGACCCACTATTGCACTTACCTTGGCGGATGGCTGAGAGCAAGTCACTGCGGGCGTCGCTCACAGGAGGCAAGGAGGACTTGGACTTGGGTGCGTCGGCAGGCGGCGGCGGCGGTGCAGCAGGCTGGCCGTCTGCGCCGCCATAAAAGAGAGGCGGCGGCCCAGGAGGGGGAGGAGGGGGAGGAGGAGGAGGTGCCCCTCCGGTTGATGGGGATAAGGGAAGCGGCGGCGGGTAGTCAGCTGCCGGCGGTGGGGGGGGAGGGGGAGGGGCAGCGAAATCGGGGTGAGGTGGGAAAGAGGGCGGTGAGGGCGGCGGTGGGGTCGCCGGGGACCCCAGTCCTCCAGGCGGAGGCGGAGGGGGCACGTTCATCATCGGAGGCGGAGGCGGAGGGGCCGAGGGCGGAGCGCAGCCGGGTTTGAGGCCCAGTGGGGAGCCCAGAGGAGGAGCTGGCGGTGGGTGGCTTGGGCTGACCACACTGGATCTTTTGGGCCCAGCTAAGCCCGACGCCCTTTGGTTGTTGTCTGCTGGGTAGCTAAAAGGACAAGTAGAAAGACCCACCATCACTTTCAGGATGCAAATACTATCCATGGTTAAGCTACTCTATAAGCCTAGGTTTATTTTGGTTGATTGTATCATTTCATTTTGGTTCAAATAGAAAAAAAAGAAAAAAAAAAGGAAGTAGTTAGAACAGACCAATATCTAACGGGCAGTCTTGTAAAGTAATGAGCTTCCTTCCCATTAGCAGAGGAATCTTAAGCAGAGATTGAGAAAAACTACCTGAAAGAAGTAAACTTGGGATCCCTATATCAGATAAGGGCAAGCCAAGATCACCTTCTGGTTCCCCTCAAACTTTTAGTTCTGCGAGAAAAGGCACTCTCCTGACACCCTCACCCCCGAAAGGAATGGCCAGTTTATTTTATTGATTTTTTACAGAGAGGAAGGAAGAGAGAGAGAGAGCTAGAAACATCGATGAGAGAGAAACATCTACCAGCTGCCTCTTGCACACCCCCTATCGGGGATGTGCCCACAGCCAACGCACATGCCCGACCAGAATCAAACCCTGGACCCCTCAGTCCGCAGACCGACACTCTACCACTGAGCCAAACCGGTTTCGGCAGGAATGGCCAGTTTAATCCTAGAGCCAGGACTACAAAGGATGCAAGAAAGAACTGGAATAAAAAAAATTCAACCACCACCAGCCCGCCCTCCGTTCCTTGGGTTATTAACATTTACTCCATCCTGTGAGGCAGGAAACTCCAGCCAAGCTGACCAAACCCGAGGGGCACAGACTTAGATAATGTGCAGTGTTCATGCGCAAACACCTGAGAAAGGAGGAGGGTCTGAGGGTCAGCAGAGACAGGAAATGGATGTGCCACCAAACTTAACCCCGGTTGAGAGAGGGCTAAGCTGCAGCTCTCCGGGTTTGCTCTGCTCGGCTGCAGGCTCTCAGGGCTTCCTTTCCACCTTTGTGTTTGCCCTGTGCTAACAGCTACTTCTGAGAAAAGCTGCCATCTTGCAATTTACCACAGACCTTCAAGCCTTAGCTGCATCTGACAGGACAGCCGGCAGGAAGTGATTTGGGAGGCAGAGATTTGGGATTAGTGGTTTCAAGAGCCAAGAAGAATGGGCGGGGTGGGATGCTTAGAGCATTTGCTTTAGGTTTCCATCTGAGGGTCCTCAGCACATCCAATCTCTGCCTGACAGTGTCCGAGCAGAGACGTGTGCCAGGCACCGAAAGGGAAAAGTGATGAACTGTGAGGAAACAAACCGAACACTCCTCAGAGCTTGTCAGCCACGACTTGCTAACCCTTCCCCTGCATGTCTCTGCCAGGGACACGGACGAGCATAAAAATGAACAGATTTTAACTTTCATCTCTCCTTCCCTTTGTTTCATTCTTTCTGGAGAGTCTATCCAACAGGGAAATGAACCAGAGCAACAGAAGAAAAAAGTGACTGTCTGCTAAATTCCTAGATAACCGGACAAGGTGTCATAAATAAATATTTTATGGGCGGTAAATATACCACTTCAATTCATGGGAGTGAAAGCTAAATAACATGCAAGAGGTGAGTGTGGTGACTCCTATCTTTCCAGGTGCAGGCAGTAGTAAAGAACACATGCTCGGGAGTCCGACTGGCCTGCGTTCCAATCAGGTTGGAGTCTGCCTCTTGCTGGCTCAGTGACCTTAGGTAAGTTCACTGACCTCTCAGCCTTCTCAGTTACTCACCTGTAAAATGGGTTCCTATCTCAAGAGGATTCTTGCAGGAATTTAATAACATATACTGTTTGGTATAATGCCTGGCCCCTTACAAACACTTAATACATGTTAATTATTTCTATTATCCAGACAGATTTGCCTGAACTTATTTTAGTGCTCCTGGCCTGGATTGGAACTCTTATTTTGTTCTTGAGTTTCTAACCATTCAGAGTAGATGGGAAAGGTACCACCATTTACCTGAATTCTGCTGGCGGCGGAGGTAAGCTCTCCTCAGAGAAGGAAGAAGGCAGAGAGGTGGAGTCTGACTGCGGCGGCGGTGGGTAGTTGCTTACATCCATGTTTTCAACAGGACTGATGCTACCATTCTGGTACACCAAGGTGGGCGGATACCTGACAACGAACCCAACACAAAACTCATTTTAAAAATCTGGCCCGTGTGGCTTACTTGGTTGGTCCTCAATCCACATCAATGTTTCTCTCTTCAGCTTCTTCCTTCTTCTCTAAAACTCAATTTTAAAACTTTTCTAAAAACTCTGAGTGATACTCCCATTAAAAAAAAAATTTTTTTAATTGATTTTTTACTGAGAAGAAGGGAGAGGGATAGAGAGCTAGAAACATCAACGAGAGAGAAACATCGACCAGCTGCCTCTTGCACACCCTCTACTGGGGATGTGCCCGCAACCAATGTACATGCCCTTGACCGGAATCGAACCTGGGACTCTTCAGTCCGCAGACCGACGCTCTATCCACTGAGCCAAATCAGTTTCGGCGATACTCCCATTTTTTAAAAAGACCCCACAAAAATGCATTTGATACAAAAGGTATTAGAAAAAATAAGTATATTCCCCATATAGTTTCTGCTATACTGAAATTTTATTTTAGGACTAAATATTCCATCGTTAGCATCTCCCAGGTATTTCTGCTGGATTGTTTGTAGGAATAGGATTCAACCTACATTATCAAAACCATGCTGTTCCTTTTTCAGTGCTGGACTTGTCAAACCCAGCAGTTCTTTTAAATTCTCTCCCGATGTTAGGAGCAGCCTATACCCGAATCCTCAAGTATGTCTGTGGCAAAGGGCAGAGCCAAGCCCCAAGGCTAATGAGCTAGTTGCAAACACGTAACTGGCACACAGCCTGGTTTTGAGGTCGGCAAGCCTCTGCAGTGCTCTAAGGCCAAGGAGGCATCTGACTGCAAAAGCAAGCTGAGGACAAGTCCAAGGTGCTGGTGGTTGTTCGATGTGGTCTCTCCGCCAGCACTCTCTTATCAATAACAAAATGAGCTGCCAATTAAAGAAGGATGCTAGGGCTTGCCTTATGAAAATCTGCCCCTCAGAGCACTGGGCTTTGGGTAAATTTGCTCTGGGTGAACAACAACAAACCTACAAACAAGCACAAAAATACCAAGCAGCAGCTAGCTGGGCTCCCCTCCCCCACTTCTACAAAGAATGCTTCTAAAATAGACCTCAGAGAACCAGGAGGTCACCATTTTGATTCCTGGTCAGGGCACATGCCTGGTTGCAGGCTTCCCAGTAGGGGGCGTGCAGGAGGCAGCTGATCAATGATTCTCATCATTGATGTTTCTCTCTCTCCCCCCTTCTCCCTCTCACCTTCTTTCCTCTCTCTCTAAAATAATATATTTAAACAACAGAAATTTATTTCTAAAAAAAATAAAATTAAATAGACCCCAACGGGAACAGAATTGAATGAACTGAATCAAATGCTGCTCTGATATGAAAAATCCCCAAGGCCTGGAGCCCGGTAGTCTTGACACATGTCTTTATAGGTTCGCCAACTAGCATGTCCAGGTAAACTAGCCATGCAACCCAATTCCAAATCTCTTGGAGCACAAAGTTCTTGTTTTTACCAACCCATTACACACACACACAAAACAACAAACCTCAACCCCACAAAATAGTAGGCATACTGCCCGGCTGGCATAGCTCAGTGGTTGAGCGTAGACCTATGAACCAGGAGGTAACAGTTCAATTCCTGGTCAGGGCACATGCCTCGGTTGTGGGCTCGACATCCAGTGTGGGGTGTGCAGGAGGCAGCTGATCAATGATTCTCTCTCATCATTGATGTTTCTATCTTTGCCCCTCTCTCTGAAATCAATAAAAAAAAGTATTAAAAAAAAAATAGTAGGCATATTTTGAACATGCAAGCTTCTGGCCTTAAGAATCACTGAACCTATGACAAGGGTCTCTCTGAACAGGATGGGACACTACAGAATGAAATGGCCCTTTTACTGGGAGGTGAAAGTAATGGAGGACCCTCAGGGCTGATTTCCCTGCAGAGAAAAAGGTTCGTTTTTCCTCTCACCATCTTTATCACCCATTAAAACAAATCTCTTAATCCAGAAAGAACAAGTGTCAGAAGTGTCAAGATTTTTAAAAGTCAAAATTTTCATGGTAGAGTTATTTCTAAAAGCAAGAACAACTCAACTCTTTCCTTTTATCATTCTTAGACACCTGGCATGGGCTGGGCTGGATCTCTGACAGTCAGGATACAATGTATTTAGGGGAAAACCAGGATGGCATTCACACCAAGCAGTGGTGGTGACTTGACTTTGAATGTCACACAGGTTGGGCACTAGGATAAGCATCAAACCGAGCGTTGAGACCATTCTTTTTTCCTTTTAGACCTCTAGTGTAATTTGGTATTGGGAAATGGGGTCAGACTGACATCTACTATTTCTCCATGGAGATATATAGCCTCAATCTGGCTGAGCGACCTTTCCCACACTGTCTTTGAGACCTGCTTTCAGTCCCTTGGCCAACTTCTCTCCTGAGACTGACAAAGGCGGCTGAGAAGTTGCTTTGGTGATGTGCATAAATTCTCTGCTGGGCCTTCCCCATTCCTGGGAGAGGCCCAGTGCTTAGGCACTACCTTCAGATCAATGCTCTGGAGGCAAAGGGCTCCCAAGCCCACTTTTCTTCCCCTCCCAGTCTTCCCTTTGAGGCCCTTGGTTGCGCCAGTGCCTGGCGGAGTGAGGGCACTAGAAGCCATGGCTTTCCCCCCACACCACTTCAGTCACCTCATTTCAACTGCTGAGTCTTGATTAACTTAGCAAATTTTAATCACTAGATGGATGCACTTTAAAGTAGTTAACAGTGATATCAATCTAAGCCATACAGCCAGCCTGCAGGGGGTGTGCAAGGTGTCACATAAAGCTGTCAGACTGAGGTCCCAGCCCCTTCAAAGAATGCTACCAAAACAGTATCACCTACCCAGAAGGCCCCAGCTTTTCTTTGGATTCCACAAATTCTTGTCCCATCTTCATTTTCTCCCATTCTTCCTTACGTGTCTTGATTTTACGTGGGTTTATGTTGCCTCGATTTGGATTATCTTTCTTTTCTTTCTGTAATAAAAAGGGACAGAAAATCCTATGTAAAACATACTCCAATGCTCTTCTCTAAAATTCCATCCACCTCCATTGATGCACACTCAATAGACACTTTACCTAGACAACATACAGTAACTACAGAATTTATAATAGAATTAATCTGCCACAAAGGTCAGCTAAGAGAGATGAGAGTCATGATAGCTATAGCTATCTGGGGAAGATACAAGGAAATAGTTAAAACAAAACCACCAATGAGGGTTTCTTCAGCCTGTGCAGCTGAACTAGCCCCTGGCACTCTCCTGGCAGCCATGCTAATGGGAGTGTGAGGTTGCGGCTTACACACATCACTGGGAGTCTAAGGGGAGCATCTCCTAAAACCAGGCCTACCACCCACCTCTACTAGCCACCAGCAGTGAAGGTGTTAAACTGCTCCTGTTGCAAATTGAACACTGTAGAGCCTTGTGCTGATCTCTCAGAAATGAGCTGCAAAACTGGCAGGGAAGGGACTGGCCTAGCTTGAGTGTCCAGCAGAGTCAGGTGCAAATTGCAAGAGAAATAAATGGTGAATAGAAAAGTCAATTTCTAAAACTCAGCCTGAATATACTATTGTTAATAGTGCTGGGGGGAACAAACACAATTCTGGTGTGATTTATACTTTCATCTTGGTTGTGCTTGGAGTGGACACATTTTTTTAAGTGTTTCACCTGGCATCCAAGCAAGCAGCCACTCAGAATGATTACTTCACATAAGACTGACTTCCTTTTTATCCCCCCTCCACAACCGTGCCTACTGATGTGTAGAACAGAGGCCCCTTTCCCCTCACCCTATGCTTTCTCTTCTCTTTCATGATATCCTTGGTGTCCTGCAGCATCTTCTCCTTCCAAAGATCAAAGAAGTACGAAGGGTCTGTGTAGAATTTGAGTGCTTCTTTCCCATCGTCCCTGGGATAGAAATGAAGACAAGTAGCTGTCAGTAGACAGATGAGCTCCTAACCAAATCCAATATTCCAAATACTTACCAGTTAGCAGTTTTCACACTCAGGAATCAAGTCATTCAAATTGATTGCTTACTTCCTCTCCCATACCAGCGGTCCAATGCCCCTTCAATGCCACCTCCTTATTTATCTGGCTTTTAAAGAACTGTAGCCCTACCTTCAATTCCTGGTGGAGGAATTTGCATAGTTGGGGAAAAGAATGGGCTATAGCAGCAGGAAACCCGATTATTTCTAATGATTTGCATGGCCTCTGACATCTCCCTGAAGATATCCTAGCCTATCAGAGGGGATTTCTGCTACTGGTTCCCTTTCCCTGCACCAATTACCCTGGCTCTCTAAAAAGCATTAGTGGCTTCCCACTTACCTGAAACCTGTGCACACATGTGTAGGTTCACATGTGTACATATACACACATCAATGTATATATGTGTGCAGCTGGTATTCCTCTGTGAAAACACATAACCACAGTACTCCACCTTCTTGCTTCCTTCTATAATAGCTCAGCATCCACCAAGCACCCCCCAGATCACCAACCACAAGGGGGCCCTACTGAGAACAGATGGCCAGATGTTTTATGACAATAATATTTAATTACCATCTCTTAGTGGCTGTGCCGGAACAGAGTGAGTGACTGAGTGTTAAGGTAAGAGTTATCTGCCAGGCTCGATGACCCTAGTGGAATCCTACACTTTGGCATAAGTCTCTCTCACTTTCCAGAAAGCATGTACTTAGGACATTTATTTTAACACTACTCTGAAATAAAAAGAATTGGAAAGGCAATTCTACATCCTGGCTTCCAATTCTATTATATCACAACACACAAAAAGCATTTCCAAATCAAACACTGATGATTTTTTATATTAAATCTTGTTGTGTTAGCTACATCTCCACTCATTTATGTTAAGCCAAATTCAGATAACTGAAAGCATATTAAAGAGGAAAATACCTTTATTTAAAATATAAACTTGTTTTATATTGTTTATCCTGTCCTACCACACCCTGTATCATATCACTTTGATATTCTCAGGTGTGTACTCCCACTGCCCAAATCCAACTAAATAATAGAGCAGAGTCAAATCTCTGTCCTACTATGATAGCTAGTCCCTTCGGAAGTCAAGGGACACGTATAATTTCACACAATAAAAATACGGTAGATGCCAGATGCTTTCTCCATATCTGTGTCAGAAGCTACCGCGCTCCTCTCCCAGGCTCCCTGGGCCAGCGGGGGCCTTGATTCCTGCGCACTGGCACCCCACCCCCGCGTTCCACTTTGTAGGACACCCATGTCTCACAGAAGATACCTGCCTCCAGCTAGCTGTAATTACTTTTTACCGGTTCCAAAGATATTTATGGATGCAAGCAAGATAAATATTTGCCTTCTGTCCTGCTCAGTGGTTACTTGCAGGATAACATTGCCAGGCCCTTAGAGGGGAAGGGCTACCTCCTTCTTTAACGTCCAGCCACGGCGGGGCAGTTCCTTTCCGAGGGGACTGTTCAACAAGTGAACAATGGCCGTCACTTCGTGAGCTTTGGGAGGACCCCCAGGGCCCAGAGCAGCCCGTCCACAAGGCCGGCCCCACGAAAACGCCCCAACATCTGGTAAGCTAGTGGTTTCTGAGTAACTGGGAGCCTTGCTCGAATGTTGCCCCTGGGATGTACTACAGGACTGCCTTGTAACAAAGTCCTTTTGGTTCTAACATAACTAAATTCCTTGGATGGCATCCAAGATGGATCTGCTATATCAAACTAAACTTGTGGCATACAATAATATAGCCAACTTTCAACGTATGAATTTCAGAAACCAAACAAGAATAAGTGACCACTGCTTATGTGATTATGTTAGTTTCTGCTGCCACAAGAACTTGGGGGTAGGTGGTGAGCTTTTTAATACAATTCTCTGATGTACACTAATCTTCAAATAAAAAGACAACCTAATGTTGTTAGCCACAGGTCAGAGAGAGGCGGAGCTGGCTGGATTACCTGTAAGGGGTGAGGTTGTTGAGAGGCGGAGGGGTATCACACGTGTTGTATGTTTCCAGGACAGGCACAGGCAGAGAGTTTCTGTCAAAAAGCTTCTGGTCCTGAATGGTAGAGCTTTTGAAGGCCTTTCGGGTGTTGATTCCTTGCAGTGACACTGAGAGAAGATGGAGGCATGAGAAAATGGACGACAAGCTATTTGAGCAAACACTGAGTCACGCCAGCCGGAGAGGCCTCAGCTGCTCCATTTCTTGGCCGCGGCTGTCTGCAGCCAGGCTTTTTCCTCCCCCTCTGGGGAAGCCCCACAGGCTGTCAGCAGCCCAGCCATTTCAGGCCGAACAAAATGAGGCAACACAAAGGTTTACTATGTGGCCAGATCTAGCAGGCCTCTCCTGAGGAGGAATGAATCTTCCAAGTACTTTTATGGTAGCAGAGTAAGATTGGGGGAGGGGAATCCGAGAAAGAGGGAATTGGGGGAATGGGAGAGGGAGTGTGGGAGAGCTAAAAAGATTTCTCTATGCCACCCAAGCTTGTGCTGCTTCAAAGCAGAACTCCATAGGTTTCTGTGATTTCTCCTCTCACTTTTTTTTTTTTTTTTTTACAAATCAGGAAAAAAATTATAAGAAACTGCTCAGCAGAGCCTGCAAATGCTGAGCTCAGCTGCCTTACCTTCTTCTTCCTTGGGATCCAGCTGAGTGACTTTAACTTGTAGGCGGTCAATCCTCTCAGCAAGGGAGCTTACCCGAGAGGCAAAGGTATTTGCCTGAGTGAAGAGCTCTCCAAAAATGTCCTCTGCATATTTACCTGCACGAACAAAGACGCCAACTCATTAGTGCATGAAAGTGACATAAATGGTCAGAAAAACTGGCTACTAAGACCATATTCCCCACCTCCGAAAGAGCCTTCCCTCCCTCCAGATTGTTTGGGTTATATGCAGACGGCTGCTCCTGGAGACAGAGACCCAGCCTCCATAGCTGGGCACTCTGCATATGTCCTACAACTTAGGCTTCTTGGCAAACAATGAACAGTCACAAAACTCAAAGCAATCTGAATAAAATTGAAATTTTTGCATAATACAAAAAATAAATCCTGGAAGGGTGGACAATATGTCTACACCTTTGCCTATAGACCTTAGCCCCTTGCTACTCTGTAAAAGCACCTTGTAAATGGTTCTGGAAAACAGACGGGAAGTTAGAAGGACTTTCTAGGTGTCTACAATTAACGTGAAAACAAGACATCACATCCTCAGCGGAGCCTTAAAGTGCACTGAACCATCATGATGAGCAGCGGTATCTTCGAGGAGCTTTGAACTTACCAGCAACGCGCAGCAGAGACTTACAACTTCTTTTAAGGAGTGAAAAGCTTATTCTGTGTTTTATAACCTACAGTTCTGCAAGTCTTTGCTCTAGGTTATAATCCTTCAAATCCACATCTCAGGGAAAAAGTGAAAAGCTAAAACTTTCAAGCCCTCCAGGAAAAAACAGCATACCAGCGGTCTCTTTCCACAAGGTCTTGTTTTTAGAAAAAGAAAAGAGTTCCATCAATTTCTGTACTTTCAACCCTGGAATGCAAGGAGAATTTGCAGCCAGAGAAACATAAGAGCAATGTGACGCTACCTTCATATCGTCACTCCAAGCCACAAAGCACATTCTTGCTAGGAATGAAAAATGGTGCATATAAACAAATGTACCATCTGAGTTTCTTTTTCTTTCTTTTCTTTCTTTTTTTTTTTTTTTTACAGAGAGGAAGGGAGAGAGATAGAGAGCCTGAAACGTCGATGAGAAACACTGACCAGCTGCCTCTTGCACCCCCCCCCCCAACACCGGGGATGTGCCCGTAACCAATGTACATGCCCTTGACCGGAATCGAACCTGGGACCCTTCAGTCCGCAGACCGACGCTCTACCGCTGAGCCAAACCGGTTTTAGCCCATCTGAGTTTCTTATTTATACTGTGGAGGCAGGCATAAGTGACCATGTTTTACCAAAAGATAATTTCTTTGAGAACTATTCAAAATGGACCCTGATTTTTAGGTTCTAAACTTCATTTATGCCTAGTCCACACTCAGGGGTGGGGGGATAGTCCAAAACTGCACCTTCAGGGTGAACTGTAGCTCACCTTCCCGGTGTAACCTGGCGAGTAAGGATGAGACTAAATCAACTGCATATTATGAATTGCTGGTAAGTTTAGTCAATAAGGAGTTTCTAATCAAGGAAAGGAGCAAGTCTTTGCATACTGAACGGTTTTGTGATCTAAACAGCTCTGGGGAGCTCCTGGCTCAAAGGACTCAAACTGGCTGACAAGCTCAAAACACACTGTATCCTGCTCATCCAGGTAACAGGAAATTGTGAGTGTAAGGCTAAAGCAGAGAAACATGCAACATTATGTGTGGAAAATAAACCAGGCTCAAAAATATTAGTTGTCCATCCAGCTGTTCTGGAGGAAAAGAAAACCCCAATTAACTTATCTTTAGGCCACCATGAGAGTACCTAGGACTTTCCGCTCCTCGGTGAAGGGAGCAGTGGTAGAGGGAGTAGAGGCTTACTGTGTGGCACGGTGGTTTTCAAGATAAAAATCTTACAAAGAAACCCAACATATAAAAATGGCAACACCGAGAATGCTATTTGAAGAGAAAGTGAGGTGGTGTGAAGGCTCCTCCCCCATCCCTCCCCACTCACATTCCATCAGGCCCAAGGTATGCTTAGAACTACAAGATGATAGATACGTGGAAGCAGTGGCCCTCAAACCAGAAAATTTTAGTCTGTTTCTTTCTGTTTATACCTGTGCACTCTTCAGCAAATCACAATCTCTCAGCTTCAGTTTCCTGACCTGTAAAACAGGGCTAACTGTATCTACCTCACCAAGTTGTCACAGGATTAAATGTAAGTTGTTACAATGAGATTCTCCCTTATATTACTCAACCGTATCAGATGACTTTTAAGATTGTGAATATCTAAAAGTCTTGTCGTATGCTTAGAAGAAATTTAAAATATAATTCCAGTCAGTTATTTGATAGTCCCTATTCTTCAAGTACTAAAAATCACTTCACTGCCAAAGCCGGTTTGGCTCAGTGGTAGAGCGTCGGTTTGCGGACTGAAAGGACCCAGGTCAAGGCATGTACCTTGGTTGCGGGCACATCCCCGGTAGGGGGTGTGCAAGAGGCAGCTGGTCGATGTTTCTCTCTCATCAGCATTTCTAGCTCTCTATCTCTCTCCCTTCTTCTCTGTAAAAAATCAATAAAAATATATTTTTTTTAAAAAATCACTTCACTTATAGGAGAAAACCAGCGTGCCTTGTTCAGAGTTACATTTCACTCATTCAAATTACTCACTATCACATCGGGACATTCATAGTGGACATCATGTTTTGCAAATCAGTCATCATTTTTCTCCCTTTGCAGTAGAACTCTTCAAACTAAATATTACACGGAGTTGGAACAGGTAAAACTGAGTTTTTAAAAAATATGAAGCTACTAGTGTTGAAGCCTGAGTAGGACTCTTGAAGCACCTCCCTCCCCAGATGGCGTGACCCCAGTACTCTTGGTTATTAAAGTCAACATCACAGCATTTCTTAATGACCCCAATGGGGCGGCACTCTCCTGGGTGGTCAAAGTGCTGGCTGGCTGTGTCTTTATTTCCTAAGATATGGCAACCTAATATGTGAAATACCAATCTCACTGCACTAAGGGAAATACCAATCTCACTGCACTAAGGGAAATACCAATCTCACTGCACTAAGGGAAATACCAATCTCACTGCACTAAGGGAAATACCAATCTCACTGCACTAAGGGAAATACCAATCTCACTGCACTAAGGGAAAACACGAATTCTGGATATGCTATCACAAAGCAATCCGCAGCTATGGAATTTTTAGTTTTGTGCCTTATCCATTCCATAATCACACTTTCCCTACTAGGCGGAGCACTTCTGGCTGCAGTACAACACATGAGGCCAAGATCATGAGTTTGAAGCACATTCCTGCGTCCCTCTCTGGTAGGTGAAATCCTGGCATCTTCCAAGGTCTGGTTTAAAGGTAACCTCTTCTGTGTAGCCTTCCTTGACCCTGCCAATCCCCAACTGTGGGCCCACTCCTATTGGTAATATTCCTTCCTTCTTTCCTTGTATTCACTGTGCACCAACAGCTAAGGTGGTGAAGAGAATACAGGTATGAATCACTCAACAAACATTTACTGAGCTTCTACTGGGTGCCAAGTATTCTATATAAGACAGATACTGACTGGGATTCAAGGATGAACAACATGATTTCTGTCTTCAAAGATCTTTTAAGATATATAATTTTCCATCTAATGTGATAGGTAATAATACAGGCATGTAATAGGAGCTCAGAGGAGCACTCAGTCCAATTTAGAGGAGGAGATCCCTGAGCTGGGCTTTAAGAGATCAGTCTCAGGATGGCAAGGGCTCTCCAGGTAGGGGAACAGCCAGGGGACTGGATGAAGGTATGAATATGCTCTAAGAGACCTACAAGGAGTTGATCATTCATTCTTTCTTCCTCCCTTCCTGCCCCCTCTTTTTTCCTTTTAAAATCCTTTAAAAAGACTGTAACATGGGAGAAGATGGACTGCAGAAAATGAGGCTGGAAAGGAAAGCAGGACTTGAAGAGTCTTTAATGATAACAGACCAAGGAACCTTTTAGGTAATTCCACAGGGAGGCACAGGGGAGATAAATAGTTAACATTTGTACTCTTAGTTTAAAAACACTTTTTAAATTACAAAAGTTAACACAGCCTCAACTTCTAAAAATTCAAACAACTCAGAATTATAAAAGTAAAAAGCGATGTTTGCATTTTGGGTAGATGACTGTGGCAGGGGTATAGGCTTAAGATTTTTAGGTGTATAGATTGAGGGGTTGATCAGAAAAAGGGAAACCAGAAGGAGGAAAGGGCAATAGTTTAGATGAGAGTCAACAAAGGTCTGAACCAGCCCTAATCGGTTTGGCCCAGGGGATAGAGTGTTGGCCTGCGGACTCAAGGGTCCCAGGTTCGATTCCGGTCAAGGGCATGTACCTTGGCTGTGGGCACATCCCCAGTAGGAGATGTGCAGGAGGCAGCTGGTTGATGTTTCTCTCTCATCAATGTTTCTAGCTCTCTATTCCTCTCCCTGTAAAAAAATCAATTTAAAAAAAAAAATTTTTTTTTAAAAGGTCTGAACCAGGGCCCTACTGGCAGAGAAAGAGTGCAGGGGACTGAGATGAGAAATCCTTGATGAGCAGCGATATCTTCAAGGAGCCTTGAACTTAGCAACTCACAGCAGAGACTGACTTGCCTCTTACTGGCTGCTGTCTCTCTAGGCAAGTTATCTTACTTTTCTGAGCCTTCATTCCTTCTTCTGAAAAAACAGAAGTATCATCTGTTTTTACAGGATTATTGAGAAGATTAAATGAGATAATCTATGTCAAGATCCTATTAAAACATGGCATAAAATAGGCAGTCAACAAATATGACTTCCCTTCTCACCCTCTCTCCATTCTCCCCTTAAGATTTATTTATTTCTGTCTCCCCTGGTAGATTATAAGCTCCTGGAAGGCAGAGACCATTTTTTTTCTTTCTTTTTAAAAAAAAATATTTTTTATTGATTTCAGAGAGGAAGAGAGAGGGAGAGAGACAGAAATATCAATGATGAGAGAGAATCACTGATTGGCTGCCTCCTGCATGCCCCCTACTGAGGATCAAACCAAAACACAGGCATGAGCCCTTGACCAGAATTAAACCCAGGACCTGTCCGTCTGCAGGCCGATACTTTATCCACTGAGCCAAACCGGCTAGAGCCGGAGACCATTTCTTATTACTGTATCCCCTCAGCACTGAACATATAGCATGTTCAATAGTTGTTTATAGGATGAATAAAATGTCATTAGCTCCATGATGTAAGGAAATCCTGTTTCTGTAGGCACAAGCTGATCCTGGCCCTCAGATCGCTTCCTTAAGATAGGAGCGGTCTGATTACAGATGGGAGTGAGCAATGGCATCCATCAACGCTACCCTGAAAAACACCTGAGAGAGCACAGCTCTTGCTGAGTGCGAATAAGCAGCATCGTTAGCTAGATGTCCTTTGTCCTGTGACGAAGGAACCCGTGTGTGATTGCCTTCCACCCATTTGGCCTTCTCAGGGTGACAGAAGAAGGAATGATGCTTTTAAGCACAGCGAGGCACTCTGCAGCTTTCATGGGCTTCCTTGTCAGCTGCACTGCTGTTGCGCTGCTGTCAACGTTCCTTTGTGTAAGACAGGCATCGACAGTGCTTCGTTTCCTCGTGACGCCCATCCAGGCTTCCCTAAGTCCCCGATCAACCGCGATGGCCGCCGAGCGAGGTGAAGGCTTAGGAATCTCAGACGCCATCTATCATCGGGTCACTGAGCTGTCTCCTCAGGCCCCCATTTTAAAGGCAGGGTCTGTTGCTATCTGGGGGAATGCAGGCTTTCTGTTCCACTGCCTTTACTAAGGACAGTGATTCGACAGGAGGGGTGAATGTCTGAAATAACTCACACCAAGATGCCTTTGCTGAGGAAGACCACTGAAATGCCATTTTGATGGAGGTTCTTAAGGGAGGCTGGAGTGGCAGTACACAAACGCACAGCCTTCCCAAGCATCTGCCCTTCCCATACCTCAACTTCAAGCAAACAAAGTCAGCCTGATTCCGAATGAAATCCAAACCACATGTATGTACCCCACCCAAGACAGTCTCATTCATTCTTGCCAATTTAAAAAAAAGAAAAAAAGATGCAGTTGAGCTGGCTTTCCCTCAGCTCCAGACTGGACTACACCCTCCCCCCACATCCTCCTGGAGAAGAATGGCTCCAGCTACAATTTGTGTCACTGTGTGTTCACGCAGCTTGCAAAACTCCCAACACCCCAGAGATTGCAGAAGTCATTTGCACCCTGAACTTGGACCTGGGGGCTTGCAGCACGATTAAATGTGTACCAGGGTAGACAAGTCAGCCAGAAGCTCTCTGAGTGCATGTTTGCTTTCCTCCTCTTTGGGAAGCAGGGGGTGGGGGAGGTCGGGGAGATGTGACTATTGGCACATCTGAGGCTACATTGAACAGTTCGTGCAATCACAGGCACATTCCCCAACCCAAGACACGGTTCTGTGAACCTCCCACTTTACACGCAGAATTCTGCTCTGTCATTCCATCTGCAGTGTCTGCTGCAGCCCTTCCTGCCGCCCTTCCTACGGGTTTCTTTAGAAGCAGGTGGAGGGGGAGGGGAGGAGCCTGGAGGGCGGTGGCAGATGAAGGAAGGGCTGAGGGGAAGCGTCTGTACCAAAAAGCAGCCTCTCTTTGGGAGAGGGGGGTGGGACACATTTTTGCATTACCTAGGGAGGGCAGATGGGGGAGAAATAGTTACACAGGAGGGGAAGGGAACTAAATAAAGAGCACCAACGACCCCTGAGGGCAAAGCACAGGCTCTCTGCGGCACTCACTCAGGCTGCCCAGCTGTCGGATGACATTTGCCAGGGTGATGTTGGTCACGCATTCCAGCTCGCTTCTAACACTAGGCAACGTCTGACGGCACAGGTGCCTTGGCTCGATGTTCCTCGTTACTAACGGCATGGTGGACCTGCTTCAGGCAATGTTCTGAATGATGAAAAACAACCTAAAAAAGAAATAACAGGAAAGTATTACTCAACCACAAATTCCAGGCACACTAGGGCTGTGTAAGTCTTTTTGTTTTGCTCTGATCTAAAACAGCTTTAAAAAAAAATCTTCTCTCTCCCTATTCTTTTTTTTTTTTTTTTTTTAAGAACCCCCTCAACACCTCCCCCAACCACCACCTTTTTAAGGTTTGGTAAAGGATTGCTGGATAAGTGCAGAAATTCTGCACTGGTGACTGCTGGCTGGGGTACTACAGACAGCATAAAAAAAAAACCTTAAAACCACTATGCCCGAACCAACAAGAATCTCCAGAGGCAAGGAGATATGGTCAGAAAAGAGCCCATTTAGCAGATTCTAGAAGGTACAGATCCTATTCTTGGGGTGTCCACGGCAGATCAGATTCCAAATGATCAATCATAAGGATCAAAAAAGAGCTTTTGTCATCTGATAATCTCATCTCCACAGTGAAATTCAGTTGCCAATAGTGATTCCATGGATCTACATCAGGATATAATTTCTCCAGCTCTTCTCTGATAGATGACTGCTAATGCACAACTAAATACTAGCTGCCAGTATCTATTAGCACTACTGAAGTTTACCAGTCTGTAAATTGACAGAAAGAGTATAAAGGAAAAATTTACATGTTCGATATGTCAAACACGATGCAGAGCACACTGTGCTGTAAGATTCCCTGGTCCCTTTTATTCCACCCAGCAGTCCCCTTCTCCCTCCCATCTGGTTCAGCACACCTGGGCCAAAGGCTCTGGAGACAGCAGGAAGTGTCTGGAGCAGATCTGGAAACCTTCCAGGTACTGTTTCTTATCCTGCCGGCCCTTTCCCTAGGAAATCCCCCAGCACTCGGGTTCATTTTGAGCTATTGTTTTAGAGTTAGATTACCAAACTGCTAGCTTTACAAGGATAGAAGCCGGTTTTAATCTCAACAAAATGCATATGACTACAGCCATGACACACTGGGCTGTTGTACTATTTCCCTATTTTGTAAAACTAAAGCTATCCCAAACAGTCCAGTGACTTTCATGCTAGGGAAAATAAAAAGGCAAAACGTAAAGGCAACATACCCAAGTCCCCAATATTGCAAACTCCTCTTAAACAACAACAACAACAAAGTAAATGAGAGGTTTACTTACATCAAATCTTATAACACCAGTTCATCACCAAAAAGTTGATTGTGAATGCAAAACGTTTAAAACAAACTAAATATCAGAGATCTTAAAAGTGAACCAACATATTGTCCAACCAAAAGTTTTTTAAAAAGCCCTTCAGGCTCAAAGGGGGAGTAGAAGCCTTGGGAACAGACTGCTCCTTGTTATGGACATTCTGATCTGCTAAGAGTAAAAATAAAACAGGAAGCCAGCAGCTTGGGGAACAAGGTTTCCTGTCACCAACAGCAACAGCCCAGAACCAAGAGAATCAGCTGTTTGCTCGTAACTCTGAAGCTCCCTTTAATAGGCACTGGAGGCAGCTGTGCCTATCTTTGGGGTGCAGAGGTGTTTCCTGAATATTTGTCTACTAAGGAAATAATTTTCATTCCGTTCCTCTGCAAAGTTCCCCCTTTGACTCAGTAGGTTTTCTAACCCTAACTCTGGACTTTCCTTCTAGTCTAATTCTTCTCCTCTTTACTTAATGGAAAGGGTATTGGGTACTAAGATGCAATCGTTAGTAATTCATGGTGAAAAGAAAGTTTAGAACAGCAAAGGAGGCAGGAGGTTGCAAATAAAAGAACCTCACAGGGCTCTGCACACCACCCTCGGGATGCCCTTAGACTTCCATGTTTCAAGCTTTCTGAAAGAACCAGAAATTCAAAGGTGCAGTCAGAGATGATTGAAAACAGCCACTGTGGTTCCCCCCATTAGCAATAATTTCAGTCTTGTTCCAGCTTCTCAGAGGAGCTAAAAGAGCCAAATCTCCTTGAAATTCTGTGTTGAATGTGGCCACTGACAGGGCATTCCAGAAGTTCTCTCTGAACACCTAATAGGAACTGGATTCCAGATGCCTAGGTGAATGCCAGATTGGGAAGGCAGGGAGTGAGGGGCAGCTTCTAAGGTCTCGGTTCTTTAGCATTTATGCTTTCCCACGTGCTTCGGGTAAGCAGACACAAAGAGAGTCAATTCTGTCACCTAGGTTGGATTTACCTAAAACCAAAATTTCAATACCAAGATGGCTTTCTCTTGCCAAAAAAGCCAGCTCCTATAACCAGCTAAAGAGTACTCAAAAAAATGGCAGCACATACGCTAAAACTGGACCTATACAGAGAAGATTAGCATGGCCCCTACGCAAGGATGATACGCAAATTCGTGAAGCATTTCATATTAAAAAAAGAAAAAGAAATGACAATATGTAAATAACCATCAAGACAAAACAATTAGAAAAGTGTATCTGCTACTTAAAAAGTCATTCAATATGTTTCAGAGCCACCAAAAAGAGACAAGAGTCCCTGTTATATGGAATGACCTGTATCACTGCTTACTTTTGTTTTGGATAATCAAGGTTAGTTATATTTTGCATACAAAGTATGGAATTATTCATGATTTGAACCACAATAGTAATTTGACTACAAAAAAAAAAAATCCTACCTTCTGGTGAAGATAAACTTAGAAATGGGCAAAGACTTTTAGGTTCTTGACTCTCAACTCAGTTTCAAGTTGTAGAGTTGAGACATTCTGGGTTAGAACACTGACTGACTAGCTGTGTGATCTTGGGCAATTTCCCCAGAGATAGTAAGTAATATAGTGTATATAAAATGTCCTCTTCAGGGGTAAAAAATGTAGTTATTGGTAGTTCTACGAACCCTAGGAAAATCAACTTTTTCATTAATAAATATTTTACAACATTTTAAACCCTGGATTTATTATGAAGTTGAATGCAATAGTGACATACATGAAAGATGACATACATTTAAAAATGAAATTTGGTGGGTTTGTTTTCTGGAAGAGTCATACTGAAGAACTTATATTCTCTCTTTCCTCCACTCTTTCATCCTGGTTCCTTATCTGAACCACAGAACAAAAAAGTTATTCGAGAGGCTCTTTTCTCAATTCTCCTCAAGACTGTACATAACTAGCACAATTCCAGATGCATTGGAGAAAAGTAACACATTTACATATAATGGCTGTCTAATGATATCGGGGATTAATTCTCTCATGGAAATCAAGCCGCGAAAGGCTCCTCTATCATCAGTAGTCACTTAGTGGAAATTTCCGAAGCACTGAGTGCTGAGGAACCACTGAATTAAGGAAGTTAACACGATCAAATTTGCATTTTAGACAATCATTCTAACAGAAGCAAAGAATTTACATTTGGGCACGTGAAGGCTGGAGGTTAAGAAGACCAACTGGGAAACTTCACAGGCTCAGAAGGAGACAACAGAAATCACAGACAGGTTACAGGGGTGAGTTCTGCTACCAAAACTCCTGGGAGTTTGTACAATTAGACTCACAAAGTGATAAAATGTAGGTGTGTTTTTTTAAAAACAAGTTTCATGGAAAAAGCGAAATGCTAGTGCCAGTCACAGAAATGAAGAGAAAGTGAAGAAAACCAAAAAAATAGCGATTCATAGCTCAGAAAAGAAGTTTTAAATACAAGAAAGAGTATAGAATGCCATATTTTTATAGAATCAATAAAGTTCTTTTTCAGTTCTACTTTGATTAAGAAAAGTATATGCTATAGTGATATTGGCTAATTTGGGGGTTTGAGGTGGTCTTACCTTGGGGGATGTTACATGGGAAAGGAATTAAATTAGAACCATTGAGAAGATAAAAGTTGGAGAAAGATTTCAATTCCGTTAGATCCTTTTAATTACAGCTGTTCTCTCCTTACAAATTATGAGTTCCCCAGACCATCCTCTGGGTGACCAGCTGTCGGGCATTTTAGGGGAGATATTCCTAGATGTTCATGTTGACAGGGCAGAATGGATGACTTTACAATGCCTTCTACAGTAAAGGCAATTCTCACTCTGTGCTACCGTTTCTCATCTGCAAAATAAAAGGACTACGCTAGATGCTCTTTCAGAAGCTCTAAAACTGAATTTGCTTCTGCCTAACCTGCCATAACCTCCTCACGTAGCTAACCTTCACTTGCATTTTGAAGCAAAGTCAGTGGCAGGTTTAGGTGAATCTTGGCCATGAATCAAGCCCTTATCCAGTCTAGATTCACCTAGTTACCAGAACCTGCAGGATCCAGAATGGGCCCAAAGAACAGTTCACACAGAGTCCCGAGGTTCAATTATTTACACCCTGGGAGGCTCCCAGACCAATTTGGAAGTTGGCTCCCCATAAAAGTAAAAAAAAAAAAAAAAGCTTTGGACCAGTTCTAAACATCCAGCCAGGCTCAACAGCATCTTTACCCCTGACTATTTTCAGCCTAAGGGACTTGAGAATGAGAGAGAACAAAGAAAAGACTCAGGCATTCCTTCTTAGCCAGGGCCTGGCAGTATACTGACTAGTCTAAAGCAGCGATGTCCAACCTTTCCATTTCACATAAACTAATTACTAAAACTCTTCGGTCTGGGACAGGAGTGGGAGGAGGTGAGAAGCTGGAATTGGTAGGATAGAAGAAGGTAATAAAGGAAGACTGCATTTGAGAGGGGAGGAAGCATTTGTAACCCATATTCTGAATTCCTGTTACTAACAGGACAGAAGACAGATGACTGCTCATCCCGGCAATGATGTTTATTATAAATAAATAAACACTCCATTTAGATAACATTATATTTCTATAGTCACATCCTAAAGCAAGTATATCTGAGCTATACCAGTAATCGTAACAACAGAAATGCCTTTCAAGGCAGTTCCTTTTTGACACATACCTCCAAAGAGCTGACCAGCAAAAGCAGAGGGAGACAACATGGGGGGATGTTGTATGTGTGGCAATTGGGACTTCTGCTTTCACTTCAGCATTTCCCACTGTCCTATAGTTAACAGTATTTTGGATGGGGGCAT